GACAAAATATTACTTCATTTTGTGTGAAAAAACTAGTGTTTTAGAGTGGAAAAAATAGATAACAGATGTCACTTCCTTTCCACAGAAGTCAGTACATCCTCTGTTTTCCCTTATCAGCGAAAAATCTCGCTTTGATGGAAATGCATACTCCTCTCATATCCCCCTTTCCATCCGTTCTCACGGAGAACTCTCTGCATTATGATTGGTCACTGATCGTGACATATAGAGGGATTTTGACCGAATTCGAGGAGTTCTCCGACCGATCCGAAGCATACAAACTCCACATACGTTTCCCTCCTGGTGGTCAACGCCCATAACGGAGTCCGATAGACTAAGTCCCGAGTCTACACTTAGAAGAAGTGATATTTTTATATTTTGTGCACGAATTGATCTCCCATACGANCCTAATGATGAAAATATTATGTTGCTAAAAGTACCGGACAAGAATGCACTTTCAGTTGTCTATCTCCGTGAGCAAACTCTAGGATTTACCTCTCCTTTAGCCTGCATTCTTTTCTTCTACGATATTTTACTACAATAGATTTTTTCACTTTAATTCAGGAGTTATGGAGGTAATCCCATTTTTGACACCCAATGTAACAGGTCAGGGTACATCTGAGAGACTAATTAGGTGAAGTAGCAGACCCCAGTGGCGTAGCGTGGGTGTTAGCCGCCCGGGGCAGAAGAAAATTCCGTTGTCAACTTAATAAGGTATCACAACTTAAAAGACTAAAATTCAGTTTCGTCACAGAATAAGTAATGAAAAACTCTGTGCTTGTATTGCTACCTTTTTAAAATAGCTCTATTGGATATTAGAGGTGTATATGAAAACGAATGAATCGTAGAAGCAAAAAAATAAAAATAAAAAAAAATCGACGTTGGCGCACGCTATCCCCGGGTAAAATTAATAGTTTACCTGGACAGTAAGTCCATTCCTAGACTGTCCGAATGGTAACACTTTTCCATGCGAAAACGTATATATATATATATATATATACGTTTTTTTATTAGTTAATTAATATGAGCTGAAAATATGTTTTTCTGATGACATAAATCAGACTAATCTTTTAATGAATTGTCAACAGCTGTAGACTGGTTTACAACTGAAATACATTTTACAACAGCAATTCAAAATGATTAAGTTTTTCTTTTTAAACATACATTGTGTTTGAAAAGTGCTACATTAGTCAAATTGTTAGATTTAACAAGTATAACAGTTAAATAGGCTTTAAAAAGGTATCATGCATAGAAACATTGTATTCGAAGAAAATAGCTTTTCTAACATTTTTAATGTTAATTTTCTAACTCTTTGTATTTTTTAACCTTTACCTATAATTTCATCGTTTGTATCTATATTCTTTATTGTTCCGTTGTTCTATCGGAAATTCGTAGCTGTTCCCGGTAGTTTCAAATTCTCAACTCGTAAATGTTATATTATTATGCCTTTGTGTTTTTTTAACTTAATTTAATATTTATCTTGTATACTGGTACTTAATTATCAAGATTTATAGATGCAAAAATTTAATCGTACAGATCAGAAATAGTATTTATTATTTAGTTTACCTGTAGAAATACACTTTTAACACATGTTTGGGACTTGTTTCTCTTTTATCAGCAGGCATTCAAAACACACTTTCTATAATTAACAAATTAAATTATTTTACAATTATAAAATTAAACGTAAAAATTTTTCCTGCAATAAAATAATAAAATTTTTACAAAATTAGTATTTTCGAACGTTTTCATTATTCCAAGTATATTCGTAATTCATATTAATAACCGTATTGAATATTCATTTTAAAATAAACATTTCAATTATTTTTTTCTTCTTGATTTTGTGTTTTTATATTACTTGTTTATTGTCTTATTTTATTAAAATACATATTATATATGTTATATTATATACTAATAGGAATAACAAATTAATAATTACTTTTGTTATCTGTCATACAGGTGAACTAAATATAAATTTTATTTCTGATCTGTAAGACTAAATTTCTGCATTCATAAATCCAGTATAATTTGTCCTGTTAACTGATAAAGTACTAGTATACAAGATAAATATTCTTAATGTTATATTTTGTCCATTTCGTTTACTTCGCTATCTCATCGAACAATTCAAACATGAGATTTGTCAAGTCTCCTAATGATGAAAATATTATGTTGCTAAAAGTACCGGACAAGAATGCACTTTCAGTTGTCTATCTCCGTGAGCAAACTCTAGGATTTACCTCTCCTTTAGCCTGCATTCTTTTCTTCTACGATATTTTACTACAATAGATTTTTTCACTTTAATTCAGGAGTTATGGAGGTAATCCCATTTTTGACACCCAATGTAACAGGTCAGGGTACATCTGAGAGACTAATTAGGTGAAGTAGCAGACCCCAGTGGCGTAGCGTGGGTGTTAGCCGCCCGGGGCAGAAGAAAATTCCGTTGTCAACTTAATAAGGTATCACAACTTAAAAGACTAAAATTCAGTTTCGTCACAGAATAAGTAATGAAAAACTCTGTGCTTGTATTGCTACCTTTTTAAAATAGCTCTATTGGATATTAGAGGTGTATATGAAAACGAATGAATCGTAGAAGCAAAAAAATAAAAATAAAAAAAAATCGACGTTGGCGCACGCTATCCCCGGGTAAAATTAATAGTTTACCTGGACAGTAAGTCCATTCCTAGACTGTCCGAATGGTAACACTTTTCCATGCTCATTTCAATCGGTCCAATTCGTCAGTGTGACAAAAATATGAAATAATATGGTTCAAATATTTACAAGATATTATTATTATTATTTATTGTGAAATTTTGCCGCTCCATAAAAAGTGCTGCCCCCACTACGCTACGCCACTGACAGACCCATCACGTAGTATTACCAAGTTTTTCAGATTTCACCTGTGATATTCTGTATTACAGAAATCTTTTCTTCGCGAGTGCACGGTCTTGCAGAGAAATTTGTGGTAAGAAAATAAATAATGATTTAGAGAAACGATCATTCCAGAAGTGATTCTTTCAAGTCGTGCATAATAACAAAGAATATTCATTACAAAATAGCAATTAATAGAAGCTAAAAAAATTCCAGGATAATCTATTGCAAATTCGAACGTTTTCATCTTCAAAGATCAGGATTTATAAATTGGAATGCGAAAATGGAACGTTTTTATATATTATTTTAAAATCGTATAAAGGAAAATGTTTTAAATTATTTTCTTAAATTAATTTAAATCGAATTTAAACCACTCCAAAATAATTGACCTATACACGGCAAACTTATAAAAAACTGATAATAGCATTAACGAAAGATAGAGAAATATTCAACTTCTTGGTGGAATGCGAAAATTTGAAAGTATTTCCCATGTCTACATACAGTATTCGGCTCCCGGTAAGCTGTGAGTCCTTATTACCTAACTTAAAACATCTTTGCCATCGGAAAACTATATAATTGACGAAAAAAGTTATTCATTTTAAACAGAGGAACTTAACTAAATTTAAAAACGTTCTTTTTGGCAGGAACCCGAATTTACTTGTGTATAAGAAAAAAAACGAATTATTTACCTACAAAAAAAATTAAAAAGAAATCTTACCACAAATTCCGCAAGAAATTAGATTGTATCATCAAGATACAACAACGAAATATGAAATATACAACTTCACTCACAATTGTTTTTTTGAGACAACGACGATCAGGACCCCCCCAGTACAAGGGAGGGACCGATGACGATCGTTGTCATTCGAAGTTCGCCCTCACTAGAACTCGGATACCTTACCGACCCCGAAGATTTTCTATCCAAATGACTCGCATCTGACGACTCTTTTGTTACCGGAATATTCCGAAAATAAAGACCTTACCAAATATACCAAGAACATTCATAGCCTTCCATCGAACGTTTTAAATCATCAATTCGTCGTGTAATTAGTTCAAGTCTTTAACCCGATCGGCAGCAAAGCTCATTCTCAGATTTTCTACAAAGTAATTATTCGCTCGCGAATGTATGTAAACTATTTTTCAAGACTACGACTCGCGAAAAAAGATAATATAAAACACTAACCCATTCATACAATATACTAATCTTATAAAAACATGAATAGGGATAGCGACAATCTTCAACTATTCAATTGTAAAAAATTTAGATTTACCTAATTTGTAAATAGATTATAGTTAATAAAGTAGTATTTGTTATTGTTAATCTTGTGTTTGGTACACTTCCTTTATAACGCTGTCTCTTGTATCGCCTCCACCCCGGATACAAATGACTAAATACGCTACTACTCGTGCGTGAACGTTATCGCTATTGAGTTCTCTATTCGCTTAAGACATACAATGTCATCTTGCCGTGGTGTCAACCCTTCGGTCACAAATATATTTCGGACTGATATTTTCGCTTTTTAGTTCTTATACAGTTCTCACATATTAACTGTCGTTGAACAGCAACACGCTTCCTAAATATAAAAAAAAAACATTAATAAAAACTCGAGCAATGAAACAATAAAATTACGTGTGATTCAGATCTGCTCCAGCTTCGGGTAAGAAAACCAGTTGCGCTTGACACTAGCTGGGGGAAACTCACATAGTGTTTATATTATTTTTAAGGCCAAATTATGCTGTATTTTAATTATACCTTACTTATTTATTGTTTGAAATTGTTCTAAATGTTTATAATTTTTTAGTATTTAACTTGCATAAATTTTGTGTTTTCTTTTTTATCAGTTAACAATTGCATCTGAAAAAGGGGCATGCCTAACCAGCCGAAAACACGTTTGAATAATTACTAATAACTCTAGTATACGAAATATTTATTTAGATATCGAACTAAGAATGTTATTAACTTTATGAAAAATAGTATTTTATCCTATTATTAGATATAATTTAAATGTATTACAGAAGGAAATGTAAAAAAATTAATTATCTTTACAAAAAACTTTATTTTAAAATCACTTTAAAATACTTAAAATTGTCGATAAAATTTCTGTTGGCATATTATCAATCAAAATTTTTTAAAGAAAACTTAAATCATATTCATGATGAACTTCACAATCTTATTCCTAAGCAAATGTTACCCTGTGTTTATTGCAATGGTAAGACAAATTAACTAATGAATTGTGTATAGTTTTGTGTTCTTCTAAAGCCTAATGGCTGCAGGAAACTTTATAACAAGTAATGCAGTTAAATAGGTATACATCGTGCATTGCACGATGAGCATCCAGGTTAACTTCAGTTTGAAATTGACTATTACGTAAAAGACAAAATCAATGGTCAGTATTCAGAATAAGTTAAAAGACGCTGAATTAAATAATTTTGTTCTTCGAAAAGACGATTGCTTCTAACATTATTGCTGGGAAGAAGATTTGAATAAGTTATTGTATTGTTATTTTCTTTTATTCCAGTAAAGGAATTCATGATAGGGTATTTAATACCTGTGTAAAGTCTTCCTCAAATGTCTTCTGAAATGACAATCTAATATTTTTTCTTCAAAAAAAGATTCTTTACATAATTTACATTTGTAGGGTTTTTCCACTGTAGAATCGTTGATGATGAGTTAAACAGGATCTGTTTTCAAAACGTTTATTACATATTCTTCACGCGTTTGGTTTTTCTCACGTGTGGATACTCAAATGACGATTTAAATGTCTAGAACTATAAAAACATTTATTACGTTTCACATTTGTATGATTTTTTTTCTGTGTGGGTTTTGAGATGACGATTCAAACTGTTTGACTGAGAAAAATATTTATTACATGTTATGCATTTATATAATTTTTCTCCTGTGTGAATTCTGAGATGACGATAAAAATTGCTGGAACGAGTAAAGCATTTTTTACACATTTTGCATTTGTAGGGTTTTTCTTGTGTATGGGTCCTGATATGATTATTCAAATAGGTTAATTGAGCGAAACGTTTATTACATGTTTTACATTTGTATGGTTTTTCTCCTGTGTGGGTTCTGAGATGGATATTCAAACTGTACGAATGAGCAAAACATTTATTACATGTGTCACATTGGTATGGCTTTTCTCCTGTGTGGGTTCTGAGATGACGATTCAATGTGTGGGTTCTGAGATGGATATTCAAACTGTACGAATGAGCAAAACATTTATTACATGTGTCACATTGGTATGGCTTTTCTCCTGTGTGGGTTCTGAGATGACGATTCAAACTGCTTGAATAAGGAAAACATTTACTACATGTTTTACATTTGTAGGGTTTCTCTCCTGTATGGATTCTCATATGACAGCTTAAACTCTGTTTACTAGCGAACGACTTATCACAAATCTTGCATTCGTAAATCATTGTAGTATCTACGTGTAGCAACACCTGCAAAGAAAATATTGCATTTTAGAGCTATTCATTTATATTGCAATTTTTTCTTAAACTACAGTTAATAACTATACATACTGATAATAATTTACATGTTTTAGCATACAATTTATCATGTTGACAATTGTTTACGTCAGAATATATTTTTGAAGTATGAACACATGACAATCCTCATATTCAATTATTCAGTTTTATTTGTGTATAAAAGTGAATTTCAAAATAAACGCATATTATGTTGTAATAAAAGATGGGACAAAAGTCATTATACTATAGAAACAGTTTGCTATTGTGAAAAGGAAAATGGGGGTCATTTAAAAGATGTTATCATTGATGATTAGACCAAAAGTTCTCCAAGATGTGAATATTAAAATTCTGAAAACAAATTTATAAAATAATTAAAAGTAAAATAGTTATTTCATTTTTACATGGAAAAGTGATTTTTTTGCCCAAATTATATAGTCTCAAACTGCTGCCATGTCGATTCTTACCAAAATTACTGAAATAGAAAATTACTTTTTAAATTTCTGTTGTTTCACAGTTTTGTTTGCAATGCCGTTTATTATATAGAAAACGACTTTGATAACTAAATTAGTATATTCACAAATTTTGGTTTATTTGTGGGGCTACAAAGTTATCTCTGTACACCAGATTCATAACGATCAACCCATAATTTACATTTATTTTTAATTTTAGTTTATAGATATTCGTGTAACACTTCATACAGAAAATTCTACACTAATCGGAATTACCGTAATGTCTGGATTATATTAGCATGTAATTAAATCATTTAAATTATTCCTTAATTAACTATAAATATAACTTTTTAAAATGTAATTGTCCACATTATTGTATCTATAAAGCGTAAAGTGGCTGATAATGAATTCAAAATAAGAATTCTGATCAGGCATTGTGTTTAACTATATTCATCAAAATTTATGAATTAGCTTTGTAAATAATAATTCCACGTTTACAAAATCGATATGAAACCAAAATTTGATATGTAAATAAGTAATAAAAAATTTGAGCTTTGTCTGATGTTATAATCTTGTTTCTCTCATCTGCCGAGTAAAATACTTTTAATAATTTTGATTTCACTTAAAACTATAGAAAGTTTTAATTATAAGAAATATTCTAATTTTTAAATATATGAGGTACTTACAGAATAAAACTAGTCTTATTTTTAATTTTAATTTGTATCGATTGATACGAACAATTTTCTTGTCTTCCAGCACCTACAAGCACACACTTGTCGATTCTCTAACGTAATTTGCATAAACAAGAGTTGTCTTTTAATTTTGAATTACCTTAAATATGATTGAAAATATTATCTTTATATATATTTCTGTTATAAAAATTACTTTGTGTAATAATATTTAATTACGGGTAATCCGGGGTTTGTTATTCAATTAAGGAAGTTTTTTAGGTAAACACTTTCTCCATCCACACTAGGTAAATTAATTTTCCAAATGTTAGCATTTTCAGTGAAATTTTATTTGGGTTAATAGGCCTACTTGTTGTGTGTATATAAATACTATGCAGTTCATCATATTTTATATGAATTATAGAATGAAAAACATTTAAGATAAAACTATATGACTATCTGCAATAATCTTTGTACGGTATGGTATTAAATTTATATCGAAGATATCCTTCAATGACAGATAAAAAAGGAAATAGCATTATTGCAATGTTCATACAATTTGTTTAACCCTTCTTTTGTCGCGAGCGTGTAGGACGTAACTCGCACAGCCGCACCAGAATTTCCATTAATATTATTGTTATTGTCATTATTAATTATTATTGTGTCTGTTTAATTAATACCTTTATTAAATCTGTTTAATATCCTAGATACGTGTGTTTACTCATACATAGCCAACACCTTATCGACTTAACCGCGACCTCCCACTCGATCTTCTTTTGTTTTGCCCTCCTAAATCGTCATCCACTGTCACATGAGCGGGACTTACTTTCCCGTTGTCAGACGCCAGTTTAAGCTTTAACGCTTCAATTCCTATTCTTAAAATATTAAGTTAAAACCCCTTTTCTATATCTAATCTTAACTAATCTTAGACCAACTGAGAGGAAAAACAGAGAGAGATTTTTTTATAAGTTAAGAATTACCTCGCTAATCGTTTTTAGTTGGCAATTAATTAATGTTGAAGGAACGGAGGTTAGACGTAGTCAGTCGGTGTCTGATGTCTTCGGCATCACTCTTTGTACTCAATTCGCAGGGAAGAAAACTGTCATACTCTTAATGAATTGTACGCACACCTGTTCGCCGTGTTCCTATCTGGATCTAGCTAATATTATCTACTTGCAATTGGAAGTTTGTTTGACTCATAGACCTTGGTGCTTTGAAAATGTGATTTCATGATATAAATTTCTATAGAATTGACAGCTCTCACCCATCAATTAGCATCTAGTTGACACTAATTTGAATAAAAGACCAGTCAATTATAGTGAGATAACAATAGAAAAATAGTTGCTGCTGCCCCTTGTTTTACACAATTTTTTATTGACAGAAAAAGCAATTATTTACAATTCCTCAGGCTTCTTTGATTACTATGATGATAATTTTAATTTTCAACCAGGTTTATGGCGCCAAGATGGAAATATTAATTTTTTACATCGTCCTTTTTGATCTAATATGCCTGGTATACATGCGAAATCTTTGCGTGATGAACTAGCTATTTACTTGTGTAATGAAGGATCTATACCGTGGTAGAATAGCAAGATATATTCACGTGTATTATATAAAAATTTAAAGAATTCTTTTGTATAAGTTGATATTTGTAATTATACAGTATAAACTACTTAAATTTTTAATTAGTAATAAAAAAAGACAATATTATTAACTTTGAAAAATCAATTTATTACTTAGAGGCTAATTAAAATATATAAAATATTTTTCTTGACCTTCAAGGTCTAACATTAATAATTCAATATTTTTTGTTGCATTATATTGATCTTTTGTATTCAATTTTTTTAATGTTAATTTCAAGGATTTGCAAAATAAACCAATTTTATCAGGCTGTGACACATTACCTAAACTTAAAAAGAAATAACTTTTAAATCTGTCGTTGTGTTGTACTATATTTTGCCTATATTCATAAACTTGAACTTACAACTCCTATCCAAAAAACTATTTATTGCTGTTGATGTTGATGGTAATGATAAAAAAGCATTATTATAGTAATTATGATTAATACAGGTAACCTACTTTTTTTTTCTTAATTGTTGTGACCAAAACTTTTATTTAGTCACTGCTTTGGTATAGTCTAAAACAAAATCCATGCATTAAAAATCTTATTCTTTTTCATCAATATTATTATTATTATTTATTTATTTACAACTTACTGATCTGACTGAATTTCTTGATTAATATTTTGGAGAATTTTTACATCATTCTGGATCATCTGTTGATAATTGTGTTGAATCTGTGTTAACATAATTATCATTTTCAATAATCCTTCTTTCATTATTTACGGTACTAAAAGAAATAAAAAAAATTACTACATATAAATAATTTCAAATCATAGAAATGTTGTGAAAAGAGCTTAAAATAATAATTATTATTACATTTAATTGGCACTCATTTTATTTTTGTTTAAACACGAGTTTGATTACATTTTACTATAATCATTACTTTACTACTTAAATATAATCAAGTGACCAACCGAATAATACAAAACCAATACCCCTTGATAAATATTTATATTAGTTAATTATGGTAAAGTGTCTTATAAGTATATTCTAGTGAAATAAAGTAAATGTATTAATACTCACGTTTCTGTGCAGCCAATATATTTTCCCAATATATTATCCATTAAAAGAAATAATTCCCATCGAGGCCCTTATACTATATATCTGCACTACCACTGCCACTAACGGTGCTACATTTTATTAATTTTTTTCCCGCATGTATCTGTTTCTTTGCACTTTCCATATGTTCACCGTCGCCTCTGCTGTAATTTCGAAAATTTATATTAATAGACATGTATTCCTAATTGAAATAAAGAACGTGTGATCTTAATATTGATACAAGGCCTATATGTCGATTCCATTAGTCCTACCTGTTATTTGAAATTTAGGACCTATGGCCGTCCACACACTTTGTTTGTACACAGTGTCTTTATACACGACACTTTTTTTTTGTCATAGAGAAACTGATGGGGACGAACGTATTCGATAAACTCTTCTATATCATTGAATTTTGCATTTTAGAAAACGAAAGAATTGTAGGGTAAACAAATATTTTCTCTTTATCCATTGATTTTGATTGTTTGTCATTTTCTAATTTTTCAATCCATTTAACTAATAACCGTTTTGGATAAACATTTAAAATAAACATTTTAATTACTTCTTTTTCTTGTTTTTGTGTTTTTATATTATATATTTTTCGTTTTATTTTATTCATATACATTTAAATTTTGTTATATTTCATACTAACAGGGATAAAGAATTTATAGTTAATTATTTTTGATATTTTTGATACAGGTGAACTAAATAAAAAGTATTATTTCTGATCTGTAAGGCTAAATTTCTGCATCCATAAATCCAGTATAATTAGTCCTGTTAATTGGTAAAGTACCAGTAAACAAGATAAATATCTTAAATGTTATACTTTATTTAATTTCTTTACTTCGCTATCTCATCTAACAATTCAAATACAGTAATACCCCGAACTTACGCGATAGGTGGGACCGAGCGATAACCGCGTAAGTCGAATTCGCGTAAGTCGGGGTATAATTTTTTATTAAATACATACAAATAATTTTTAATTGGGGCCGGAGACTAAAGAAAACAATAATTTAGAAAAAAATGTTTAATAAAATCTTAGATAATACATATGTATAACAAATTAGGCCTATATTATTTTACAATTTTTCACATTTACTTGATTATTACGCCATAATTTTAACATTGTTTCCATCTCAGCGATAATACTGTGACGTTTACGAATGATGCTTGAATTTAAAGATTGAGCATTTTTCACAGCTTCGAGAATTTTTTCTTTGCCTTTTATAATTGTTCTGACCGACAATTCCGGTAGATCAAACTTCTTTGCCAATTCACAAATTTTCATTTTTGTATCGAAGTCTTTAATAATGGGTACGTTCGTAAAGTCAAACGAGTTAAACGCGTTAGTAACGAATCGTTCGAAAAGTCTAACGAAATAGGAATAACGATGACGTCATTCTCGTTTAACTCGTTCGACTTTACGAACATACCCAATGTTAACTTTACATTCCAAAGATAAAGTTTTTCTTTTCTTGTTTGATGCAGAAGAATTAGTTCTACTTCGTTTGGATGACATAGTAGAGTCTCTCGAGTCTCCGTAGATATAACAAACACAGAAATAAATAACACAAAATAAATTGTAGCTATGTGTGGATTCCGCGCGACACATCCGAACATGTAAGCTGAACAATAGTGTGGGGGGAGTGAGTAATCAAGAGTTGCGTGGCGCTCAAACAAACGACGAATCTGTGAGATTTTAAAATCGCGTAACTCCGGGTTCGCGTAAGTCGGGGTAGCGTAAGTCGAGGTATTACTCTAATAAGATTTGTCAAATTTCCTAAAGATAAAGGTATTAAGGGGAACATGTTACCAAATCTACCGGACAAGAATGCACTTTCATTTGTCTATCCACGTGAGCAAGTTTCAGGATTTAGTTCTCCTTTAGCCTCTATTCTTATCCTCTATTATATTTTACTACTACAGATTTTTTCCACAATAACTCGTTTATTGTCATAAACAAGAAAATTCGGGTCCTTGTCGAATAAAACGTTTTTAAATTTAATTAAGTTACCCGTTTAGAATAAATAACTTTATTCGTCGAATGTACAGCTTTTCGGAGGCAAAGATATTTTAATATAGGTAATAAGGATTGACATCTTACCGGGAGCCGAATACGTTATATAGACATTGGAAATATCTTGTAATTTCTGCATTTCACCAAGAAATTTAATTCATGTCTAGCTTTCGAATTTTGCTAGCAGCAGTTTTCTATATAACTTAGCCGTAAAGCTTAATTATAGCTCAATTATGTTGGAGAGATTTAAATCGATTTAAATTATTTAAAAGCAATTTTAGACAATTAGTTTATAAAATTTTCTTTCATACGTTTTTAAAATAATTCATAAAAACCAAACATTCCCGCATTTCGATTTAGAGAATCTTGAAGAAGATCTCATTTAAAGTACGAAAACTATCGATTTTCCAATAGATTATCCTTGAATTTTTTTAAGG